CTCTAATCCCTGATCAAGTATGAAGATGTTGTTAATAACCATTGTTTAACAGGTTCCTGGGTTAGCACATGCTGCCCATTTCTCCCCGTGGAGATGCTCATTCCATTTAGAAATGCCCTGAAGCCTTTGGCAGTTTCTGGCTCTATTAAAAGCAGGAAGCCATGAGGGGCATGTGCTCATCACTTTTGGCTGGTGCAGATGGCAGCCCAGCTTTGTCCCTTGCTGCTGGCCCCAGCTGTCCCAGAGGATGGCAGATTCCTCTCTTGCCTGGGAAATGTGTGTGGGACCTCCACACTCCCTGTGGGGCAGAGCTGGCTTCAGGAGGGCATTGAAGCTCCAGTGCTGTGTACTCCACCTGCAGAGTTTGACTCTGAGGTATCCAAGTATGTATTTGTTATTTTGTGTTGGTTCTTCAGCTTCTTCTAAATCAGATGTTGTTTGTTAAAGGGCATCAGAACCTGTTTAGCTGAATTGTTTTAATTGGTTTTGCTTATTTTGTAACTTTAACTGAAATTTCCTGCTGGTTTTTTCCAGAGAGTGGGAATCTTGTGACAGGTTAGACTGTTGAAGACTTAGCTGGGTCTTTAACTGAGATGGGAATTACTGGTGTAGTTTCAGGGGCAGTAAGACATAGAAGTTCTTGCTTCCTTTCCCTTTCATTAAAGCTCAAATATAAGACTCTTCTTTTTTTCAGGGCAGCAGAGCTGTTGTCTTGTTTTGTCCATCCATCCTCTGTATCCTGTGAATCCTTTATTTGTCAGGGAAAGCTTTATTATCATCAGAGAAACTCAGCAGTGCTGTGAGGCTTGCTCAGTGCTGAAACTCGTGTGTCGTGCCCCAGTTCCCAGGATTTCCTGCTATCACTTCCATAATTGCTCTCCCTTGCTGGAGCTGCCAGTGGCTGCAGAACAAAGCTGCACCTGGCTGTTCTCCTGCCCAGGCAATTGAGTGACTCAAGGCACTCCCAACTCCCAGAGCCCAGGCTGAGAGCAGCCTGCTGGAAATCTGGAGCAGCCTCTCCAGGTTTGATGGATTCCTGCTGGAAAAGGTGCAGCTTTTCCTGCTCTTTCTGAGGGAGGGGAGCCTTGCAGTGCCACTCACCTGCAGGAAAGCACAGAGTGCTTTTGCCCCTCACAGCCTCAGATCTGTGCAACTGCTGTGCTTTAGACATCAGATGCTGCCTGGTATCCAAGGATCTTAATTGAAACTGTGATTTATGGAGTTATGGAATACCTACAGTATCTTTGCCTTTGGGGATCATTCATAGTTCTTTCCGTTTCAGAAGCTTTTTGTAATCTCCAAAAGGAATTAGCTTGATGAGGCTTGTCAGAACCTCTTTCTCTCCAAGTAACTTGTGAACCTGTTTTTGCCACGGTTTTCTGCACCCCATAGAAATCCCATAAAATTATTGTGGAGCAGAAAGACTAAGGAAAGCCTGAAGTTTCTGTGGGACTAAGTAAGGAATGTGGGATACAAATCTCCAGGAAATGAGCTTTTAAACTTGCCCAGCTTGTGGAGCAATGTGTGAATTTTACTGCCATTTCTGGTTACAGCCAGTGGAAATAGAGGCTGGGGCTTTGCTCAGTGTAACTCAATTCATTTGGGTTTCAACAACTGTGAGGCAGCAACAAACCATCCCAGCTTGGACCCATTGTCATCTCCTGGTTGTCACTGCTGTTCCCAGTAGGGATGGAGAGCACTTACTCCAGGCTGACTAATTAAGGAATGACAGCTGGTTGGAAATAATCATTCTACTTTTGCAAGAGCCATGAGCAACTTCACAAGAATTCCTGGAAGAAATGAACCTATAAACAAGATGAATTGGCAATATTTAGAAGCTCTTGCCCTGTGAGAAGCTGCAAGGCTCTTGTGGAGGTCACAGTCACACTTGGAGAATGTGTGCAGGGCAGCTCAGCCTTGCTGGGGTCACTGGGATGAGATGCCAGTGCTTCCATCGGGCCTTGGAGCTGTTGAGCAGCAGAGCTGGGGGAATTGGGGTGAATTCTTGGTGATGGCACTTCAAAGCCACGTGGGAAAGCAGCTGTGTGTGGAGCTGGGTGGGTGAGCAGAGGTGCCACTGAGGGGAGGGAAGAGCTGCCCTTGGAGATGCCTATCTGTGTTCTTGCACAAGGACTGGTGACGCCATCTGTCAGGAATTCTGAAATCCTTCTTCTGCCAAGTGCTGGGAATGGACAGGGCAGATCAGAGCTGTCTGATTGCTTCTTCCAGCCAGCAGGGCAGGACCCACCCATCACCTCCTGGTCTCCAGTTAGTAGGCTTAAGTGTTGGAGAGAGATTGCAGTCTGAATTGGGATGGGTGTGATGGGGGAATGACCCCAAAATGAAGTGCTTTAAGAGAAGCAGAGCAAGTTTATTTGGAAAAGAAGATATAATAGGGAAAACAAGATATGTATTTGGGAGCAGAAAGGGAAAGGAGGAAGGATTTAAAAGCTCTAAAATACAGTAAGAAAGTGTGGAATGAGTCAGGGTGGGAAAAGAGTAGATGTAGTAGTAGATGCCATTAAATGAATGCAGCTGTCAACTTCCTGGTGAAATATCTGAATACCATGTTCATTTCCAGCCTAAAATACAAGCTGAGTTATCTGCCCCCACACTCATGGCTCACATGGTGACAGGACATGAGTGTCTCTGGGAGCAGTGCATTTGGAGTCCCCATCCCTGGAGGTGTCCCAGGAACACCTGGAGGTGGCACTCAGTGCTCTGGGCTGGGGACGAGGTGGGCATGGGGCACAGCCTGGACTCTGGTCCCTGTGGTTTTTCCAGCCCTAATGGTTCTGTGGTCCTGTGAGATTCCAAGGCTGTAGCCTCTCCCCACAGCCTGCTGCCCAGGTCTTTCCCAGTTCAGTGGAATTGAGTAGGGGCACAGCACAGAGGGAAACTCACTTTACAATCTGCTGGTGTGGAAGTCTGATGGTTTTGGTGACATTTGTGTCCCTGCACTCTGTGTCACAGTGTGCTGTGCTGTAGTTCTATTGGATGTTCATAGAATGACATCATGTTTAGGAGGCAGTTCTTAGTCTCCATCCCTGGGAAAGCTGGCAAAGATCTGAGATATTTTCTGTTAAAGGGAGAAATGCAATGGCAGAGTCCCACCATAACCTGCTGAAGGAAAGTTAGGGGGCATAGATGGATAAAATGTGAGATTTCTGCTGAATTTGCTGACCAAAGCCACCTGTTTGATATTCTCAGTGTTCTTGTTTGTATCTCCCAGGATCCATGGGTTTATTCAGCCTTCAGCTGCCAAAGGACACGAGATGTTCCTTACTTGTTTAAGGACACACTAATTGGATGCACAGTTAACAACATATAATCACTCTAATGAGTGTTTTTACATATTCATATTGAAATAAAATCAAATCAAAGACACCCTGCATAGTTCCCTGGTGGCATGTTTGCTTTCCAGAATGGTGTCACTGGTGTGGGCTGGCTGGTCCCAGTCAGTGAGGGGCTGCTGTGAGTTCCCTCCTGGGGAGGATCAGCCCTTGCACTTCTTTGTGCCCCAGTGAGAGGGGCTGGTTGGGACTTGTGAATAACTGGGATGGCCCTGCAGAGACTGTGGCTGCAAAAACCATGGAAGGTGTGGCTGTCTGTTCTGTGGCTGTCCAGAAACACTAAAATCCATGTTTTTGTAATCACCCCAAACATCTCCTGCCTTTATTCCTTTCTGGATTCCCCCCCAGCCACCTCCTGGGTTTGTACATGTCACTGCTGTGTGTGTCATGAGCAGGCAGTTGAGTCTTTCCATCACCTGTGGGCACAGTTTTATCCTGCCATCCTCAGCCCATGTGCCACGTGTGTTCCTCTCCTTCAGAGGGGGCTCAGGGTAGGCTTGAGCCAAGGCACTGGGCAGGGGAGGCAGGGTTGCTGTGGGCAGGACACTGCTCATTTTCCAGGTTCTCTGGTTTGTGCAGCACATCCTTGTGGAGGAAAGAGGAGGAGATGAATGCTTTTGAGATGGAGTTGTGTTTTGAGCGGGGGTGGATGTAGTTTCTAAGGAGTTACCCATAATCCAAGATGGTAGGAGTAAGGGAATTGTGTGACTTACTCCATTGGATGTTTTAGCTGAGCTCCTTGTTCCTGTTGAAGGGAAGAAGGCTGAGATAATTGCAGGTGTTTGAGGACACTCAGTTTGTCCTGCTAACCCTCTGCCAGTGCCCTGGGCATGGGGATGGGGAGGGCAGGGCTGGGGGAAGCTGGAACTGCCTGGGAATGAGGGGTTTGGGAGCAGGGAGGAGAGGTGGTGGTGGTGTGCCATGGGCAGCCAAAGGGAACAGCTCACCAACAACAGGGACAGAAAAGAGACAACTGCTTTGGGAGACAGAGGTGAGCTCAGAGAAACAATTGCAGCTGCAGCTTTGTGGAAATGCTTCCATCTCTCATTGGTGAAGGAAAGGGAGGGAAGCAATAGTAAGGATCAATTCTGGTTTGGGCAGAGCATGCAATAAAGGCAGGGGTGACTGCCAAGGGTTGTAGGCACAGCCTGGGCAGTGAATTGCAGAGATGTTCTGCAGAGAATGATCCCTATTTCTAGAGCTGGGAAAAAAGCATATTCTGTTGCATGTAAGTAGTGTATAGTGATTTTTTTTCTTTTTTTTTTTTGCCTAGCTGTATGCAATTTAACTTTGGCAGAAAGTGCTGGTTGAATACATTGACAGGTTTAATTGCTTTGGCTTGAGTAGGATGAAAGTGAATTTATTTCCCAGTGAGAAAAGCGTTGAAAGGCTGCATGAAAACCTGTCAAAGGAAATTGAAGCGGGGTTGGGGAGTTATCTTTACAGTAAATGGAATTGATAAACATGTCAGTTAAAAGGGGAATTTATTTATAATACTCAGGTTTTGTGGCCAGAAGTCTTTGAGAATTCCATTCACTGGGAAAATGAATTTTATTTGTTCAATTGATTTGCTTTTTCGTAATGCTTGTAGAGCAAGAAATTGTCACAGAATACAAAACTGAAGTAATATTTGTTCTTTTTTTGCAGAACACGTCAGTAATGGAGGATCAGAATGAGGATGAGTCTCCAAAGAAAAATACCTTGTGGCAGGTAGGACTAACATGGATGTAGAAGGAGAGGTGCCAGGATTTTGTATATTCCTGCTTTTGAGAAATGGCCAAATCTGCATAATCATCCTTGGATGTCGTTGGCTGTATCCTCCTAAAATTAGCTCAGCCTTCAAGTGAAGGATGGTGCCAGTGGATAATCCTCAAGAAATTATCGTTTTTGCTCAGATTTTATAGTTTGTGCTGACCTTGGAAGGACAATGCTCTGTCAAAGCAACCTTGGGAATAAAGTTAATTTATATTTCTGAGCATGTGACTGTGTTGTTTGGAATGAGAAGTTCAATGTGGCAAGGACTCACAACCCGTTTTTTGAAGAAGTTTGGGAATATTTTGGAGCTCCAATTGCTCCCCAGCAGCCCCTTGGCTCCTGAGGGGCTCAGAGGAGCTGGCATCACTCTGAGCTGTGTTCAGTAATGAGCAGTGGCTCCTGCTGGGGTGTTCTGGGCCATCCTGATGTGGAGCTGAAGCTCCTGGGATTTTAATGAGGTGTTCATGTGCATGTCCCAAACATTGACAGGAGAAAACAAACCAAGCCCTTGATTCTCAGTTTTTATTTGAGGACAACCAGTACAACACTGACATGAGGGTCTCAAATTCTTATTTTAACTGTCAGAATCTGAGCAGAACATTTGTGGAGACAATCTGCAATGTGCCTGGAAACCACTGCTTTGAGCTGGGAAAGGTAGCTCTAAAAAAAATTACATCCCTTGGGGTTTAAGTGGTAAAAAGTGTAAGGCAGGAATTCAAGATTTTCACTGTAAGTAGCAATTTGGGAGCAAAGGCTATGAAAGACTTTAAAAAGTCTTTGAAATTCATCTGATGTAACTCATTTCTTGAAGAATGTGTTTTAAAATAGAGTTTTGATTATTTCTTTGCATCTTCTTACATGTTCTTCCTTGAGAGAGATTTTATTAAGCTGTTCCTGTAGCTTATATATAAATACCAATGTTGAAATATTGGTATTTATATGTATTTAAATATATAAATACCAATATTTAAATGTACACTAACATATAAATAATGTTCCTTTCCCAACCCCAGATAAGTAATGGAACTTCATCTGTGATTGTCTCAAGAAAAAGACCATCGGAAGGAAACTACGAAAAGGAAAAAGACTTGTGTATAAAATACTTTGACCAGTGGTCTGAATCAGATCAAGTGGAATTTGTGGAACACCTCATTTCCCGGATGTGTCACTATCAGCATGGACATATTAACTCCTACCTGAAGCCCATGTTACAGCGGGACTTCATCACTGCGCTGCCAGGTAAGGCCAGGGCACAGCAGGGCCTGCCCTGGGCTCTGCAGCTCCTTGGGGACATCCCTGCATGCCACTGTCCCTCAGAGAGCCTCTGCTGCTCCTGCTGCAGGGAAGGGCAGCAGGGTGCTGAATCCCCTCTGTGACTGATTGTGTTGGCCACTGGATGCCAGTGTTGTTCCACGTTAAAACAGTCGGGCTGGTGGAGCCCAGAGGATTTGTGCTGGAATTGGAACTGAGCTGTCACAAAAGTTGTGTGTCTGCAAGCTTTGGTCTGAACTCCTTTTTCATACAGAAACTGCTGCTGCAAAGGTATTTTAGTTTAGGAACTCTTACATTTTAGTGTTGTTCTGAGTTTCTGCTTAGATGAGTGCATCTAGTTTGTCTACTCTTGTTGCTGACCTGAGAGCAAAAACACTTGTGGATTTTTATTGTGTTGTCCAGCCCTGACTCCTCCTTTCACAACCTCTTCTGACACCCACAAGTGTCAGCCTGTGTTGATACGTTCACATATGAAATCTATTTTTACACTTGCTCAGTGAATTTTTTCACAAAAATGCAGAGCAGCAATAGTGGATATACAGGATCTCTAGGTTGTAATCTGGTAAAGTCATGTTTTTTTTCAATAAGTTTTTGGAAGAAATTGTATTTCTGGATTCTTGCTGCTAGGGGCAGTGATTCATATGATTCTTGGAAAGGGAGAAGTGTGGACATTGTTTGCAGAGTGGGAAATCAGCCTGGGTGAGTGCTCAGTGTGTTCTGTGTGCCCCTGGCACAGCCTCACCCTGCAGTGTGTGAGCAGCCTGGGGGGTTTTCCCAGGAATGCCAGGACAGTTCTGAGCACTGAGGGTGGAAGAGGCCATGTAAAGCCTAAAACCTAAATCCTAAAACTCCAAATCAGCTGCTCCTCCTAGAAATGACTCTCCAGACCCTTCATTTGCAAGTCTGATCTTCAATTAAAATTTTGTTTGCTTTTATACCTCAGGGCTGATAGAGAATTATACAGATCTTTCATTTTATATATTTCTGCCTAAGAAAATGTTGGGACCTTTGTAAGGTTTGTTGTTTACACCACATTTGTGTATACCAAAACGCATCTTTACAATTTCTGTGGCTTGTCCCCAATGTAAATACTGGGAATTGTTCCCATGTTCAGCCTTCCTTGAAGGTGCTGTGGCGTGCAAAGAACATCTGTCCAGATTTACCCAGGAACTTAATCCCAGCTGCTTGAAATCAATCCTGTGTTGGGCTGCAGGCACATGAAAGGAGCTGGAGTACCACTCTCAGGCACATGGGGGGATTTCTGGGGTCATTCTGTGCAGGGCCACGAGTTGGAGTTGATGATCCTTGTGTGTCCCTTCCAACTCAGGATACTCAATTCTATTCTTTTTAAAAGATGGCTTTGCTTGTCTTGAAGTCAAATTCTTTTGTTGTGAAGAGGAGTAGTTTTTGCTCACTGTCCTGACCAATTTTACACCTATGAGAATGCAGGAAAAATGGAAGAGTTAGATGGAATTGTTTTCAGTGACAGAGTGGTAACTGTGGCATGTTTCCTGATCTAAGTGACTGTTTTGTATCTAATGTTGATCACATTTAGAGAGTTGACATCCCACATTTGGGTTTCATTTTCACACAAAGTGATATTTATACAGAGACCTTTGAAATCCCTGTGAATTTTAATTGTTTGAATTTATTATTGAAATTCAACCAAACCTTCAGCTGCTCCCTCTAATCAACAACAGCTCTTTTTCACCATTTCTGTTAAACTGTAAAGACTCTCTAGAGTCGTAAGGGATGGCTGTCATATTTTCCTTTGAAAAGTCTACCAATAGATGTCAAATTCATTTTACTTCAGAAAATGGGAAGGCTTTAGTACCTATTTCAGAAATTTTCTGAAACAAATCCCTGTCTTTTAATCTAAAATAGGGATATGGAGCTATTTCAGGCCTTAATGTGTCTTAGACTTAGTCCTGCATGTTGTCTGACAGCAAATCTATTCTTGAGATTTTTACTGCTGGCAGAAGTTCACAGGTTTAAATTGCTACATCCAAAAGAGATGTCAGCTGAAATATTTACCCTAATTAACATGATAGGATCAGGTCCAAAGCACAGACACAAAGGACAGGGCCACTAGATATATGTTATAGTTACCTAAATGATGTAGAATAAATCAATAAATGAGTAGACTCACATGTATTAGTTTCTGCTGTCTGCTGCTGTTCATTTTTATGAAGGCCATGTGAAATTCAGTGTGCAGTGGAGAACTGTATGAATAAACTTTCTTCATGCTCTAAAAAAATAACAGTAGTTCCTTTGATTTGTCAGGACTGTTTGAAGCCTAAAGTGGGCTGTCATGAGATAAAGTGGAAAATTAAAAAGGTCATCATCTCCTGGTTTGAAAGATTTTTTTCATGCTTGGCCAAGGGGTGTATGTTACTCATGAAAATTGACTTATTCAACATCTCAGGTTGAGGGAAGTTTTGTGGAAAGCAAAATTGCAGGTCTTTGAAATAAGGAACAGACTGAGCAGTGACTTTTCCACAGGGAAGAATTTCTCTCCAGTATCCCATGTAACCCTGCCCTGTGGCAGGGAAGCATTCCCCCTGCCCTGGCCCTGCAGTTCCTGATGCAGGGGAACTTTCCTGCAGCCCTTTCTGACACTGGCAGGGGCCCTGAGGCCTCCACACAACCTTCCCTTCTCCAGGCTAAACATTCCCAGCCCTTCCAGCCTGGCTCCAGGGGGAGCTGCTCTGCTCCCTCCAGCAGCTCCAGGGCCTCCTCTGGACGTGCTCCAACAGTTCCATGTCCTTGTGTTGGGGACACAGAGCTGTGATCCCTGCTCCAGGTGGGGTTTCAGAGAGCAGAGTGCAGGGCAGAATCCCCTCCTGGGCCTGTCCACGCTGCTTTTCCTGCACCACAGGAAGAGTGGAAACACAGGCAGGAAAGACAAAACCTTGGAGATGTTTTGGTGTCTCTGTGTGCACTCACCTGTAGCTGGTGCCCCTACCAATGGCAGTGTTCTCACATTGGTGCCATGCCCTGAAACTCTGATTCTCAGTGTCTTGCAAAGCTGCTTTGGTTGTTTCTGTGCACTCACTGACTGCTCTTCATTCCTTTGTAGAGCAAGGCTTAGATCACATAGCAGAAAACATCCTTTCCTATCTCGATGCCAGATCCCTGTGTGCAGCAGAGCTGGTGTGTAAGGAGTGGCAGAGAGTGATCTCAGAGGGGATGCTCTGGAAGAAGCTCATTGAGAGGATGGTACGCACGGACCCGCTCTGGAAGGGGCTCTCCGAGAGGAGGGGCTGGTGAGTGCTCACTGTGGCTCTCAATTCCTGGGGGGTTGTGGGTCCCAGGGGGAGGGGAGAGATGAGAATTGACTCTCAAGTTCTTAGAAGGCTGGTTTATTCCTCTCCTCTCCTCTCCTCTCCTCTCCTCTCCTCTCCTCTCCTCTCCTCTCCTCTCCTCTCCTCTCCTCTCCTCTCCTCTCCTCTCCTCTCCTCTCCTCTCCTCTCCTCTCCTCTCCTCTCCTCTCCTCTCCTTCCCATTCCCTTAAAAAAAAATTATACACTTAAACTATACTAAAGAAACAGAAAGGAGACATCAGAAGGCTTGAAAAAAATAATAATATAAGATATATATAAAGATACCTTATAATAAAAGATATATATAAAGATAGCTTATAATAAAGATAATAAAAGCCTGTGACAGACTCAGAGAGCCTGACACAGCTGGACTGGGATTGGTCATTAAGTTAAAACAATTCACATGGAACCAAAGATGCACCTGTTGGTAACAACCTCCAAACCACATTACAAGCAATCAGATTATTGTTTACATTTCTTTTTTGAGGCTTCTCAGGAGAAAAAATCCTGGGGAAGGGATTTTTCATAAAATATGGCAGTAACACCTGAGCTCCCCTGCTGCTGCACAGCCTCCTGTACACATCCTCCCACGAGCTCTGCCCAAAAGGAAGGGTACAGGAGATGGGTATTGCTGAGCTCCTGATCTCTGCTGGGGCGGGAGGCCAAAGCTGTCAGCTCCCCTTTCTGCTCTGCCTTTGCCCCTGTCCTTTTAAACTCCCATGTCTGACACCGTTTTTTCTTGCTTGAGTCTGCGCAAATTTGGAATTTCTATATTGTGAGGAGAACTATCAGTTCCATCAACTCACAAAAAACAGTGCCAGCACATTTGCAGGGCTTTTTCTCAAGTGAAGTATTTCCAATTGGACTTTTTCTTTTTTCTTTTTTTTTTTTTTTGTTTAGTTTGCTTTTGGATGGGTTTTTTTTGGTTGATTTGTTGTTGTTGTTTTTTTCTTCAAGTATAAAATAGCAGTTTGGGCTGCAGGAGCCTCTCAAAGGGGAAACCCTTGTTTTCCTGTCCTTCCCAAGTTTCTGGAGAGCTGTTCTGCTTCAGAAACCTGTTTCCCTGTGCTCTCTAGTGGTGTGCCTGAGCAAAGGCATGTACAGAGCAAGGGGATGGCACAAGGATGAAACCTTGTGGAGCAGGAAATCGGAACTGGAAAACACTTGTTATCTTTTTAACCTTGGACATTCTAAATATTTGCCAAATTGCAAAGTCACAAGGGTTGTAATAGTGATATTAAAAATTCTCCCAGACATTTCTGAGAATATGTGCTGAGGGTTTTGTTCTGGGCAGGCTTTGCATTCCTGTGAAGTTTGGATTCCTTGTGGTACATTGAAAACTGTTTCTCCTTCTTTCTAGGGATCAGTACCTGTTTAAAAACAGACCAACAGATGGGCCCCCAAATTCATTTTACAGGTCCTTATACCCAAAGATAATCCAGGATATAGAGGTAGGTGTTCTGATCTGTCCTGTCTGCAGGACAGAAAATGGTGCTGATTTTGGGGTTTCAGAGGTGGTGAATGTTGGAACAATGAATCTGTGTCACTGCTGCTCTTGGGGTGATGTTAAAACCCCCTCAGCATCTCCCTGGCACAGCAGGTGCATTGGTTTACGTATTAACACCATCTTTTTTGCATTTCAAGAGTTTTGCAACTCTTCTGAGACTATGGATTTGAATAAAATAGCAGGTTTAGGACACACTACTCCAAGAAAATTCCCTGTATTGCTGAATGTTCAGTATATTGGTGATACACTCACTTAGAAGGTGATCTGACGTTGATGCCTTAAACAGCAATTATTTAAAATGTAACTTATCACTTCTAAAGCAGTGGCTGACTGTTCAAATACAGCTTTGGTCCTCATAGGGATTTTTCCTCTCTGCAGTGGTTTGATGGGGACAATCATCAGTGCTATGGTGATGAACCCACAGGGCCATCAGCAGTAAAGCAGATTCAAATATAAAATTTGGCTTATCTTGTTTTGAGATCTACAGAGCTGGGCTTGCCTTGGTGGTTTTGAAATATTTCTGATAAATCAGGATCATCCCAGCTGTTCTGCCAGCAGGAGAAAATGTGTCTTGCTCTGTTTGCTGTACTCACCACAAAGCTCTGAAGTTACACCACAGACTGTCATGGATTTATTTCAGGATGGGAATTTATTGGTCTGAAATTCATTAGTGAGGAAATGTGTTTTGATGTTGAAGACAGATGTGAACTAATGGAATCACTGTGTGGAATGGCAAATGGCAGTTTGTGCTTCTTGGCACTCAGGAAACAAAATTATCCTCAGCTCTGAACCCAGCTGTAAAATGGTTCTGCTGGAAGCCATAATGTATTTTCCAAATATCTTTTTATAAACCTTGCTAGATTATTTATAGGCATTTAAAGAACTGAGCATGAAATACACCTTAGGCAAAATATGACCAAACTTGATATTTACCTGTGAGCTGAATGATCCACTTAATTATGGGAGGGGAGTTGTGTTCCCCTGTGGGGAATGAGAGTGATGCTGCAATGATAAGAGGCCTGTGGGATTAAGAGCTTTTAATGTGATATTTTCTTGCTTTCTGCACAATTCTGGCCTAGTTCTGTAAAGAAAATGGGCAAAAAGCAGCATGAAAATGTTTGCCTAGAACACTAAAACAGTTTGGCATTACTGTAACTCACACTTTTAATGTTATTGTTCTGCAACTCATTTGTATAAGTGGAACATTTGTGTAGGCACTGCTGTTATTAGAGATGGAAGGACTCCTTGAAGGTGTTCTGAGGGTTTTTGAATTATCCCAATCTACTCTTTAGTGTTTTGGCTCTTTAGTTGCTGTGGATTTGCTTTCCAGTGCACAGAAACAAAGCTCCTGAATTAAATACTTCTTGCTAGGATGAAGCAAATAGGAAAAAACCCAAACCCCTTGTGCTTTTCTCATCCCCAATATCAATAATAAATAGAAAAAGTTGTCAATATTTGAAAAGCTGCGAGTGGGAAAAGAGTAGAATTTAAAAATGTATTGTAGCAATGAGTGTTTCTGCCACAGCAGATCTTCCCCTGCTTGCCTATTCCCTCAAGCCCTCTGAAATATTCCTGTTTGCCAGGTCTCTGACCTGGAGTGGGGTTGGTGTTTGTGCTGATAGTCAAAGGCCCAATAATTCTTCACTTCCAGAAGTCTATTAGAATTTTTCAGATAAATCACCCTTTAAAGTACTTTTCACAAATTGCTTCCCTAAAGGGCTGTCAAAAGAAGCTTTCAACACTGTTTAAAATGTAGAGAGTGAGTACCAATAACAACCAAACCTAGCTTTAAGATTAACTTTTTCCTCCTCTTCCTGTTTTTGTTGCTCTTCCAGAGTTTTGTATTTATCCATTCTTCCATGTTTCACAGCAAGGTGTAGAAGCTCTTGAATAAGACTTTCATCTTCGATGTCATGAAGAATTTTTTGTCTCTGAATACCAAAATGTTTTTTCTTCAAATATTTGCCTGGACCTTAAATTAAATATCTTCCTGTTTCTGCCAGAGGGTCAGAGTTAAGGAGCCATATTAGCATTTATAGAATTATATACCTGTTGTTAAAAACAAATCCAAAGGATGGGGTTTTTTAATACAGTTAAATATATTTGATGTAGCACAAAAATGTTGTCATTTGGTATTTTACTACAAAGATGGACCAAATCCTGCTAAATTGTTTCCAAGGGTGAGAGTTAGGAATTTACTGCTGGTGCTAAATTGGGTTGTGGGCAGAGATAAGCTCAAGGCAGAATGTACTCTGAATTTGAAAAATAATCCCAAACCTGAATTAACAATTGGAAGGAAAAATGAGGAATGATAAACAGCAAATTTGAATTCTTTCCCTTGGGCTCTGCTTGCATTGTGGGTCAGAAGTTCATGCAGCCACAGAGTGGTGGGAGCTGAAGGTAACACAGGCAGGGGTTTGGCACAGGGAGCTTCCCTTCCCTCTCCAGAAATGTGCTGGTGCCAGTGTCTGCTTACTTCATGCCAGACACATTTTACTAACATCGTGTCACTTCTGAAGTAATTTGATTTGAAAATAAGAGGACATTTAGAGATCAGAAACCAAATTCTTGGAAAGAGATGGTTATTCCCCACCTCCACTGTGAAACCAAATATTTAATTAGGTTTCATTTCACAAGAGGTGGCCCAGTCCCTCCAAACATCTCCAAGTCACATGTTGAACTGCCAGGGTTCTTTAGGAGCTTTTTTGAAAGGGAAAACCTTTTTTGATTTGGGGGTTTATCCTAGCACACCAGCCTTGGTGTGAGCCCCTGTTTGTGGGGAGCCCCAGCTGGTGCGGAGTTGCTCTTCCCATGGGGCCAGGCTGGGAGAATTAATCCTGCCCATTCAGAACCCCAAGTCCCTGGAATGTTCCATATTATTTGTGACGCTTGGCCAGCTACTGTGTTGTCCCCTCAGGATTAGCACAAGTATCTATTTCTAGTGATGAGTTGAGAAGACTTTATTTCATAAATGTTCTCCTTATCTTGAGGCACATGGTGAGTGCCCTCAGTTTGTTTCCATGGAGACTTGGGTCCACCTAATTAAGATGAAAATAAATATGTGGTTTATTCGAAGACTTTACAAAGATGTGGTGCCAGGCCATCAGATAAACACTCTGTGTTCTTCTGATTTCTGGAAAAGTTCAGGTTTTAGGACTGGAACATAAATTTTAAAGCCTTGGGACAATTTGAAAAGGGAAAGAAGTTAGTTCTTGCCCTGAGTCCCTGCCAGCACTGGGACTCAGTTGTTTATGAAGATTGCAGGGTATAATTTCTGAGGGAAATGGGTTTGTTTAGTACAGCTCTAATTATGATGCTGGAGAAATTTTATGTGCATGTATGGGGAGAATCTGGTCAACATTAGATGCCTTGACTTTTTTTCAGCCAGCCTTTGAAATCTCTATTCCACAGGCTCTTTCCAAAAATAATTTCTTAAAAATGAAGCTGGCCAAGGAGAGGGGAGGCTTTGGAGCAGGAGGGACCAAGTTCTTGTGGTGCATGGCACAGATTGCAGCTCTCTCCTCTGAGCAGGGCAGAGCTGCCCTGGGCTGGGGCCCTGCCTTGGGTTCCTTTGCCCCACAGCACTCCTGCCTCTGAACACAGAGGGGCTGGAGAGCAGCCCTGGAAGGGGACCTGGGGGTCTTTGCTTATCAGACCCTCTTAGTTTGATCATGAATGAATTATCAAGTCCTCACATACCCTGGTGACACAAGTTCATTTATTTGTGCCTTCCCTCTGCCGTGGTCAGGAGGGATTTTCCTTTTTCCCTTTGAGGAAAGCATGAGAAGAACAAAGGGTTGGATTTTTGTGGCCTAATGCATCAGGAGAAATCCCTACATTCATAACAAATGTGGATGTTCCTTCTGCTTTGTGCTGCCCCACTTGTCCTGCAGGAGAATTGTGTGTTCAGAGGGAACAGGAACTCCTTGGTTTATGGGATTAAGATAAACCTACTTACTCTGCAATAACATTCACAAGGATAAAAATGCAATTGTTAGCCAAGGAACTGAACACAGTGTACATTATCCAATGGTAAAAAAACCCCTGCTCCTAGTAGATTATCCTTAACACTTCCAACGTATAGTTAATGTTCCAGCTGTTAATGCAGATGAATTGCATTCTTTTCACTGTGCATCTTTGCACCAGAGAATGTATTCTGGCATGGTCAAGGCTTGGCTACACCTCTCCATCTTGGACTATGTTCTGTTTGTACTTTTCTCACTAAATGCCTTTTTTTCATTCAAGCCATTTGTGCACCACTTCAGCTGCCAAATGACTCTCCTGCTGTGGCAAATGCTAGGTCTTCCCCTTGTGCGTCCAGATTTTGTTGGTTGTGCAGCATTTGTGAGCTCCTCAGTGCTGTTGCTCTGGTGAGCTTTTAGGAGAGTGTGAGAAACTGTGGGTGTGAACTCAGAGATTGTTCTGCCTTTTACTGGGGAAACCTGAGTTCAGAGGCACAGAAGATTTTTGAGGACATGTGTAGAAAATGCAGTAGTGGCTTTTGGATGTCTTGGTGTTGGTTTGGAGTCATAAATACACAAATAAACTGTGGGATTCTTCAGCCCTGACTCCCTGGTGCTTGTAAGAGGCCACAGACACAGTGATCTCCTCATACCTGCTGTCCTCCCTGCTCAGTGTACCCAGTTAGGATCTCTCCTGGCAGGAGGGTGCAGATGAAGACTTTCACTCCTGCACCATGGAGCAATGACCAGAAATTCCCTAATTCCCTGTAGCAGAAGCTTTCATGTGGTTGGCAGTTCTTCATTAACCATGTTCCTCTCGGAGGGTCCTCCAGTTGCCCACCCACTCAGTCTGTTCAGTCATCCCAAGTGTTATTTCTCTGGGTGTGCACATCTGGTTTCACTCCACTGCCCAGGGAAGTGCTGCTGTACATTCTGTGTGTCATGGCTGCTTTCCCAGCATCCCAAGAATTAAGGCAGCGTGAGGGGATTTTACAAGTTCTCCAAACACAGGCACTGTTTTCCCACAGTAGCCACACCACATAATGCCTGTATGGAATGACATCTCCTCACAGAGCTGAAATGTGCACTTGTATGTGCCTTACTGCCCTCACAGAGGTACACAAGTTTAGTTTCCTTTATCTGAAGCCAGCATTTTCCCATGGGGAGCAGCTGAAGTAGCTTCCTATAGTGAACCTGTGAGAATTGAGCCAGCTCGTGTCCCCAGTGCCTGCTGAGCAAACTTCCACTGCATGCTGCTCTGTCTGGGGAGCTGTGACCAGCAGCATTTCTGATCTGGAGGGCTCCCAGTGTGTGCTGGAGCTCTTGGGAGTGCCTGGCACACCAAGCTGAAGTGTGGAAGTGCTCACAGATCCTGCACAGCCCCTCTGGCACATGCTTGGTGCAGGCTTAGTGCAGACCTTTCCAAGAACAGGGCTTTGGGGAAGCTCTCCCTTAAGGCTATTCAGAACTGAGTATCTGAACATAAATAGTTTCTAAAACTATTTAAATTGGCTGACTGGAATCTCTGATGCTGTGTCTGCTGTGCCTCCAGTGTTACTATTTCATATTTAAATCTGCTGCTTTCAGGTCTATAATGACATTGGTTCCTGCTGTTATGTCTGCAGTCCTCTCCTGTTCCTGAGGGTCAGAGGAGTTGATGAGCTGCAGTCATGCCCTCCTAGCCCAGATGAGATGGAGCTTGGGAGCTGCCTGTCCCCCCTCCTAGCCTGCAGTGCATGTGAGCAGGGAGATGAGCTGGGCTGATCTCCCCAGGGCAGTGCCAGCTTTGGGCCAGCTCCCAGTGTGCCAGTCAGCAGGGCACTGGCTGGCCAGAAAGCTGATCCCAACTCACACCCTCTCTACCCTGATTTCATTGGTTTCCCCACCAAACTGGAAAGGAATGAGGGGGCTCAGTGATCTGTCAGCTGCTCCTCCAGAAGCATCTCTTCATATTTGTGATTTACACAAATTCCTGGGGCACAGCAGGTTTGTATTAGGACTGGGTGTAATTCCAGATTGCATAATGGGAGACAATTTAAGGAGCAAACAAGTGGAAGACAAAGTGGAAAGTCAGTTTTCCCTTGAAGCAGACATGTTTTCCTAGAATTGGGATGTCACAGTCACACTCCATTTCTGTCTTTACTGAGGGTTCAGTCGGTTTTAATCTTGGAGGAGCTGCAGAGGTACCTGCTACTGCTTTGGAAGTTAGGATTACATAATAAATATACTTTTCCAAACAAACTGCCAGTCTGTCAGCTTCTCCCAGGTTTCCATGCAGTATTTGGGGAGAATTCCAGGGAAATAGCTAAACAGATGGCCTATTCTGATGAAAGCATCCCAGCCTGCCCAGGTGCTGCAGGTGTTGGCCTGGAGTTCTGGGCACACATTGTTTTATGGTTGTGTTAGGATCTTGCTGTCCAAAACCCCACATTTCTTTGAATCCAGCAAGGAGTAAATCTGATTAAGTAAAATTGAGTAAAATTGATTTTCCAACAAGGAGTAAATCTGATTAAGACCTGAAAATCATGCTGGTTCTGCTGTGAAATAGTTTGCAGCTTTTTGAGGCGTGTCAGGTCTCTCTCCTTAAAAATACCTCTCCGAATGAAAGTGTTGAGAATTACTCTTCCACAGATTTCAAATGGGGGGAGGAAAGCAAGTTTGGGTTGTTTAAAACCTTATAGTTCCTGCTGAGCTTTATTTTTATCAGGATTTTAGGTACTTTCAGGAGGGTTTCATATCTCAACACCTCTTTCCAAGGTGTGTAAGTACAATTAATGGGTGATAGGGCTGGATAGGGGAAGGGAAGACCCAGGAAATCCCTTCACCCACATGTAGGAATCAGCAATTCTGTAATGTTGGTCACCCAGGTGAGGCTACACAAGGCACCATGTGAGCTCCTGGTCTCATCTCTGCAGCTTTTGTTGGTTGGTCACATAAATGTGGGGGGAAATGGTTCTGGAATGTATCTCTCTAATGGCTCCTTGTGAAATTCTCATTAAGGCTGGTTGACCATGATTTCCTCCATAAACACAGCTTTTGTCATGACAAATGACAGAAGTGCTAATGGTAATTCATTGTGGTTTGTGTGTCTTTATTGGGAGCAGGAGAAGAGATTTGGTTTATGTCCTTCAGATTCAAGGATGGTGTGTGTAAAAGTGGGAATCTGGGGGTGTGGGACTGTCTTGCTGCAGCCTGAGGCCCAACTCCTGTTTCTGCCCTCTGGCCAGACTATAGAATCCAACTGGAGGTGTGGGAGGCACAACTTGCAAAGGATCCAGTGCCGCTCTGAGAACAGCAAAGGGGTCTACTGTTTACAGTATGATGATGAGAAGATCATCAGTGGCCTACGAGATAACTCCATTAAGGTGAGCACTCCCCTTGGTCCTTGCCCTGGCTGTGGTGGGGCTCTGCCCTGGAAGCTGCCTGTGCTTCTTGGCGTCTCTTCATGGGACAGTGTGTGCTTGGTGCGGGTGGCATGTCTGAGCCTGCACTCTGCTCTCGGAGCCTGGGGCACTGCCAGGGATCACATCCTTTAACCACAGAGGTTGCCCTGAAATCAGTGTTCCCCAGGAGGGGGAGGTCTCTGTGTGCCACTGGCCTTGGCTGGGGCTGTTTCATTGCCAGGACTTTGCTTCTATGCTCATCCTCCCTGGCACTTCTTTGGCCAGACAGGATTTGATCTCCTCGTGGTGCTTGGTTATTTTTCACTGTTCTCTCAGAAACATACATCAAGACTTCCTAAAGCTGAAGGGAAGGACGAGGCCCACTGATGGGACAGACTCACCCCTCATGGTTGTCCTCCTTTGCAGCTGTGACAATGTTCAAGTCTTGATCCATGTTCTTGATGTGGATAAGCCATTTACCCTTCTTGTTTCTAACAGATTTGGGACAAAACAAGCTTGGAATGTTTGAAAGTATTGACGGGACATACTGGCTCAGTTCTTTGTCTGCAATATGATGAAAGAGTTATTGTAACTGGATCTTCAGATTCTACAGTGAGGTGAGTGTTAAGTTCTTGTACAAAAATAATTTGAGTTTCAGGGCTGGGAATATTTTCAATAATCTCTAAATATCAGAAAACATCCCTACAATTAATGTGGTATTTGTATTCCAGAAGCAAGATACTCATACTTGGCAAAGGATCATATTAAATAATTTTTCTTCAAAATCTATTTTGTTCTTTTCGGATTAGGAATTTTGAAGGAATATGACCTGAGGGATTCAAGGCATATCCTGAAGTTTTGGAGTGGCTGATGGCCAACTATGCAATAATTTCTTCAATTAGGGTTTCTTTAGGGCCCTGTGACATGTTGCAGTCGTGACTCTTACTGAGAGGGTGTTCAGTACACATGGAGCACTGCCTGAGGTGCAGCTCTGCTGGCAGTGAGGACACTTCAGCAGCCAATCTTCCTGCCTTGCACGAGCCCTGCCAGGGTTAGCCAGCCAGAGCTGTCCCGTGGAGACTGGGGCAGGCTTGTGCCTGTTCTCCCCCCAGAGCCATCACTTCCCGTGGGATAACGCTGCTCTCTCCCACAGAGTCTGGGATGTAAATACAGGGGAGGTTCTCAACACGCTGATCCACCACAACGAGGCCGTGTTGCACCTGAGGTTCAGCAATGGGCTGATGGTGACGTGCTCCAAGGACAGGTCCATCGCCGTGTGGGACATGGCGTCCCCCACGGACATCACGCTGCGCCGCGTGCTGGTGGGACACCGCGCCGCCGTCAACGTGGTGGACTTCGATGACAAGTACATCGTGTCAGCCTCGGGGGACAGGACCATCAAGGTCAGTGGCAGAGCTCTACTCCAGGGCCTTCCTGGTGTCTCTCTGAGCAGTGTCTTCTTGCTGGCTCTTGGTGACTTTGGGCACACAACTGCACTGGAATATTTTCATAGAAAAGCAAAGCCCATTTGCTGTTTGAACTCTTTGTCTCCAGATCAGCTGCTCTGTTGAATGTGGCACATCCTGTGCCTTTTTCCAGTGGTATTTTTAATTTCACTTGGCAGTTCTGTCCAGACATGAAATTCCTCAGCAGTGCCTTTCCTCACCATGCCTTCCCAGCAGCTCAGCCAGGCTGTGCCGTGTTTGAAGGATTCAGAGGCTGCATTTGAAGGCTGTGACCTATCAGAAGATTTGAGTTACCCAGAGTGCACTAATATAACAAAGGCATTTCCACCCTGCCCTCTGTGAACCAGAGCTGCCTTAGCCTTGCCCAAAGAGTTCTTGGCAGTCCCATGTCCAAATCTCTGCCAGAGATCCTGCTGCACTCTGTGTTGGAAAATGAGGCACTTTATGCTCTGTGTTACAATTTCAACCAGAGTTCATTAAAAATGGGCAAAGTTGATTGAATCCTTTAAAGTTAAGACCAAGCTTAAAGGCCATTTGGACCTTCTCTTACTAAGAGCTTCCTAATAATTTCTTTGGTAAAAAAGTGTGAGGGTTTTGTGTTTACTAACTTCGGTTTTAAAAATTATTTTTAACTTATGAAGTGTAGTGAAGGTTTTGAAATTATTTGGAGCAGTCTGAAAATATTTTAGATACAGCCCCCAGTTCTTCTCAGTGCCATAGCAGCGCCTGTGCCTCTGTCCCTGCTGGTCCCCACTGGTGCCCGGGCCCTTGGTGTGGGTTTTCCCTCCTGTGTGAGCCCCAGCCCCTCTGTCTGTGAGTTCCTCGTGGTTTCTGGTGTGGAAGGAGCGCTGTTTGCCGCAGCTCTCAGGGTTTGTCCCTGTCCCCAGGTGTGGAGCACCAGCACGTGCGAGTTCGTGCGGACGCTGAACGGGCACAAGCGCGGCATCGCCTGCCTGCAGTACCGCGACCGCCTCGTGGTCAGCGGCTCCTCGGACAACACCATCAGGTGGGTGCCTCCAGCTGCTGGCCTGCCAGCAGGGGCCTCTGTCCTGGAAACAGCATTGCCCTCAGTTCTGATGCTGCAAAGCTTCCTTGGCATGGCTTGCCATTGGAGCAGATGGTTTATGAAAGGGGCTTAGCTCAGTGTGGGAGTAAAGTTTCACAACCTTGTGAAAGAGTGGGACACTGAGGCTTCAGAGTGAACAAAACCTCTTATCTGCTGCTGTATCACCTTGTCCTCTGCTGGGAGAGATGGAGAAGACATTGCTCCCTGGTTTTCTTATTTTCTGAACTTCTAATCAATGGCTTACAGAGAACAGAAGAAACTCTGTTGGCATTTCCCAGAATAACACACATCTGAGCTTTACTTGCATGAGATTCTGAATGCTTACAATAATTTTAATATGTGTACTGTAGCTGCTCTGAATGACACTTCTTACAGCAAATTCCATATCCCCATAGCAAACCAGGCAGTAGATGCTTAACCCTGGGTATGGAATCAGCCTTTCTCCTGTGTTCTCCCCAGGCTCTGGGACATTGAATGTGGTGCCTGTTTAAGAGTGTTAGAAGGCCATGAGGAGCTGGTTCGGTGCATCAGGTTCGACAACAAGAGGATTGTTAGTGGAGCCTACGATGGGTAGGTCTGACAGCAGTTCCCAAAATTTAGCCTTTCTCTTGTGGGGCTCTCAGCAGTCTGCAGACCATTTCTGTGGGCTGAGTGCAGGACTCCTCTCCAGAGTGCTTCTGGCTTGCTCAGTGTCTGCAGTGCATTGTGGATTCATGGCTGGTACATCCATATCCAAATTCTCCATTTCTTTCTCTGCCTGGAGAGTTACTGAAAACAGTTCTGGAACTGGGTTTGGGTGTAGCCTTTTATTTGGGCTCAGTGTCTGCCTGGGGTTGGGGGGCCCAGCTTCATTCCCACATTGCAGAGTGGGAATGTGTAATCTGTGTGTGCATTGTCAGCTTGTCTGTCACAGCTGTCACAGAGCCATCACTGGAATGGCTGCTGCAAAGAAACTCAAAACCACCTGGCTTTTACAAGCTTGAGCATTAGTATTTCTCACAGTGTGCTTGATCCTGAGGAAGTAGCTGTAGGGAAAACATGGCAAGCTTTCCGGGGCTTTGGATGTTAGTTTCTATATTTTCATAATTTCTTTCTTCTCTTACTTTTAGGAAAATTAAAGTTTGGGATTTGCAAGCTGCTCTTGACCCTCGTGCCCCAGCAAGTACGTTATGCTTGCGTACGTTAGTGGTAAGTAAAAATTATTAATTTGGAGCAGTCAGGGGTGTTTCAGTGCATTATTGGGGGATAGATGGGAATGTCAAGATGGTTTATGAAGTCTATAGGGCTTAAGAATGAAAAAAAATTTATTATCATATCCTGAATGATTTGCATCAGAGCTTAAATGAAAGATCAAATTTTTCTGGTTTGAGATTCTCAGATACTCTGAAAAGAAACAGAAATCATGATACTGTATCAAATCACTCTGGTTATTGGTGTTTCCCTAATGTCACTGTAGGGCTGCTTTAAATTTCCTCCTATTAAAAAGGGGCAAGAATCTTTCCCAGACTTTTTTCCTAACCCTTCACTTTGGAAAGAAGAGCTGGGAAGGGAAAGGAGGCTGAGTCCAACAGATTGCCACAGGAACTCTCAGCTTTTCATAGGACAGTCACATTTAAAGCTTAAGTTGCTTAAGGTATATTTTTCTATGTAAAGAGGGCTTTGGCTTATGACAGCAGACTTAATTAAAAATAGATGGGGGAATGAATTTCTTGTTCTTTCCACCAAATGTGTGTGGAACTTTGCTTCAGGAGTCAGTTTGACAATCCCATAGCAACACAGAGTCCTTGACTGTAGGTGATGCATGTGTTTAGCCTTTCCAACACCTGGAGGAGTGCTTATGTGCCTGGAAATGCTTCTCCTTTTTCTTTCTCTTCAATAGTCTTGGTATAGAGATGCGATTTAACTATTCTTTTATTTAGTTTTAGTAAAGAAGTTCTTGTTTCTATGTTCTGTAGGTATCCTGTGGCTTAGGTTGGAGTGTGGGATCCCTCTGCCAGCTTGGGTTAGTTCTCCAGTAAAGGCAGAGTCCTCACTTTAAATTTAATGAACATGGATAAGCTGCACTAAAGGGAGAGCCTTTTCTGGGCTTCTTGGGCCACTTTGAGATTTGTTGGAAGCTGCTGGAGCATGTGCTCCCCTTCTTATGGCAGAGTTTGAGTTCCTGGCTGCTGCTGTGTGAGCGTGAGGATCCTCTCAGCAGGGTGGAGCTGTGATGTGCTGTTTGGGGCTGCACGCAAACAGAGTCAGCAGAGAATTCTGCAGGAGAAGGAGCCCTGGCAGAGCATCAGTGCCAGCCAGGGTCAAAATTGCTGCTCCTTGGTGGACAGACAGCTTCCATCTGGAATAATCTCAGCCTGTGGCTGGGCTGGGCCCACTGAGGGAGGCTCAGGGTGCAGCACTGGATTTGGGAGCTGTGTGTTTCTGTAAAGAATTTATATACAAGCAGCTTTTCTTCTATCTGTGTATAGTTATGAACATTTTTTAGTCAGCAATGCAGAGTTTGAACGTACCTTGTGTGTCCAGATCCCTGTGTGATACCAGTGCAGTGCCATGTTTCCCTCTTGCCTTGCTGACTGCTTGCCTCTTGCCCACAGGAACATTCAGGACGTGTCTTTAGGCTCCAGTTTGATGAATTTCAGATCATTAGTAGTTCCCATGACGATACAATTCTGATTTGGGATTTCTTAAATGTGCCACCGAGTGCCCAGAACGAGACCCGCTCTCCATCTAGAACATACACCTACATCTCCAGATAACAGTCTGCACTTTACTGCCCTCAGAAGGTAAGGCTCCTCACTGGCTGGGGCTGGGAAATGTCTGACACATTCCCTCTGCCTGCAGCTTGCCTTAGTCAAACAAGCTGAGGTTTTCCTTAAGAGAATGAAACCTTTTTATGCCACTTCTTTCCCCATCTGGCCTTTGTGTGGTCATGCTCCAGCATGTCCTGTTGGCTTCTCCCTCCTGTAAAGCCTCATGGTTATAATTGGGTGTTGAGGCTTGTTAGAGAGAGCTGTCATGTATTCACAGTATTGCTGGCAGTTGAGGAGCCTTGGTGTATGGCACAGACATTCCAGCTGTCCCATCAAGTGGGAGCTGCTGGGGGCTCTCCATGGCCCTGCTGCCTGTGGGGAGCAGTGCAGGGACCTGAGCCTGGGGCAGCAGCAGCTCTGTGAGGAGCACAGGTGGCAGGGAGAGCTCTCAGAGCTGTCTGAACCAGAGCCCAGAACTCACTGGAGTTTGGTTCCCTTTCCCAGTCACTGCACTCAGTGCTCAGAGCCCTTTGTTGGGAGTGTGGATTCGTCTCTCTGCCAACAACTGCACTTCAAACTACACCTGCCTGTGAGTGCTGGGGCTTGGAACACAGGCACTGCCTTCCAGAGCACAGCAGGCTGTGCCAGCGCTGCCCAGGAATGGACACACCACAGCAGGAGGAGCTGGGAGTGACATTGCCCCAACAGGAAGGATTTACTTTGTTTGAATAGATAATGAGCACTTTGTTTAAATGTGGTGTGGAAAGCCTTCCTGTAAGAAGGGATTTTCATTATCTCTCTGGATACATTTGTCCCAATGTATTCCTCAGGGTTTTGCACTCCTGCAGGACCTCTGGCTGGGAAATCCCTTCCCTTGTGGAGACACACTTGGAGGTGCTCCTGCTAAAAGATGAATTTTCTTTCATCTCAGGAAGGGTTAGCTGCCTTCCCTGCTACCAAACTCCTTTAAAAGCACCAGGGCAGCCTCCTCTGTGGACCTGACCCTGGGATCTGCTGGCACATTGCTTTGGGGTCTGAGCCAGCAGCTGGCCATTGCCAGGCTGAGCTGCCTCTCAGCATTCCTGGAATAAGGAAGAGCTGTAATGCTGTGAACAGGGGCCATGTGCAGAATCCCAGCTAAACCTTCCCTTCACAGCAGGTTGTAAGAGCCCAGCTGCAGGGGTGGCTTAGTGACAGTCATGGAGTGGCTCATCCTGCCTGGGGCAGGACAGGGACACCTAGAAAAGCTGCATTTTATCAACAGTCTCCATCTGCCTTCCAGTCCTGCATCAGTGCTTGCTTCTGTTAACTAAAATGATAATTTGAGATGGACAAAATCTGTTTTTAAATTACAGATTGGGCATAGGTCTTTAAAAGCCACATAGAGGGTGTCTTAAGCACAAAAGAAACACAGAACCATAGAATATCCTGAGCTGAAGGGACCCACAGGATCATCAGCCCAGCCCCTGGCCCTGCCCAGACCCCCCAGCAATCCCCCCTGTGCATCCCTGGTGTCCAAAGGCTCCTGGAGCTCTGGCAGCCTCGGGGCCGTGCCCATTCCCTGGGCAGCCTGGGCAGTGCCAGCACCCTCTGGGGGGAGAAACTTCTCCCAAAACCCAGCCTGGCCCTGCCCTGGCCCAGCCCCAGCTGCTCCCTCAGCTCAAGAATGAGGGGTTGTGTAAAATTCCTGTCACTCCTTGAGCAGCGCCGTGCTGGTGCCATTTGGCCACGTGGCACACACAGCTCCATCTCTGGGTTTGCCAGGGCAGGGGGAGATGCTTTTGGCAGGGGGTTGTGCTGCTCACACCCTGCACCCTTGGCACTTGAGCACAGCTCGGCCTGCCTGGCCCAGGAGGCACAGCTGGGACCACACAGCCCCCAGGTCCTGCTGTTGGCAATGACCGTCCCTTAACAGCCATTTCTTCTGCTACAGAGATGCTGTGATGTCACTTCTTGACAGGTTTGTCTGACTTGAGAATCCAGAACGCCTAAATCTACATAAAATTATGGTCAAACAGCTAATATTTCATCATGACATTTAATGAAACAGTTTTATAAGCTTTCAAACATCACAGTCTTGCGAGTTCTGAAGCAGCCCTGCACACGTTTTTACAGGCTTTGCAATGTGAGGCTCTTCAAAGTGGATCAGTTTTGACAGTCCTGGCAGTTGGCTGTGAGAGTTTTATTGCTTTCTGTTGAATTCCTGTTGTTTATTGTAACATGATAAAAATTGTTACCATATGATAGTCTAATATTCTGGTATTAAGCATTAGGCCTTGGGCTGAGGGAAGGGAAGTTAAGAGCAAGTGCCTAAGGATGTTTTAACCTTTCATGGGAATGTCATCTCAGAAGAGGGAAGTTCTCCTTAGTCCATTAAAGATGGTTTTGGGAAGTGGCAGGTAAAATCAAAGTTCAGATTTAATTGCACTCAGACCTTACACTGATAACAGAGCCATCAGGCTGGAAATGGGATTATCAAGGTATTTGAGGGTTTTGTCTGTTTTCCTAAAAGCTGCTCATGTATTAAAGCAGCTGAAATTGCCTCCTGTGCAGAACTCTTCCTGTGCAATGTGAGGAACAAAGAACCATCCCCTGGCCATTTTGGGTTGGGTTCAGGGGGCTGGGCTGGGACTGTGGCTTTGTGAGGGGAGACTGCCTGTGGGTCACTGCCAAGGAGCAGAGCCACGCAGGGCCTGGCCCCTGCTGCAGTGGGGCTCAGAGCCCTGGCTGTCCTGCAGCAGTGTCACCTCCTGCTCTGCCCTTCCCCTCCTGGCCTGGATGCAAAGGATGCTGTGGGCCTGAGCACCTGGGGATGCTCCTTGCTCTGTGCCTCCTCTCAGTTCACTTGTCTTTTGTCTTTTTCAGGGTTCCACAGTCTTGAACTACTGGATTTTTGGCTACTACATGCCTGAAGATGATTGACAGCTAAAGTCAGAATTGGTTCTAGATGCTGTGTAGATGCAAAGCAGCACAATTCTATATCTAAATTTCTTAATCTTTCCTGCTCTCAGTGGTCGTCTTTGAATTTGCTACAAATTCACTGACTTGGAGTAGATGAGTTTCAGAAGCCTATCCTTCCCTGCTGTGAGAAATCCAAAGCTTCACATGTAAATTGTCCGTAGAAACTGAACTCTGATGGCTTGTTTTTCAGATATAAATCAGAAGTCAAGAAAGGACTTGGCCTAATTTATATTGCTTTGCACTTTTGTCTGACTTTAAAGGAAAAAAACAAACATTCTCCAGTGAAATTTGGGTGCCAAACACATGCCCAGAATGTACAGAGCTTTGCTTTCCAGTCACCACTGTCCTTTAGGCGTTCCCCATGGCAGGTTCAGAGCCCGTTCTGTTCCATAGGTGTACGTTGGACTCTTAGAAATATTTCTGAGTTGCTCAGTAATATTTTTGGATTACAGTTTACTTGTTTCTGCACCAATAATTTCTTTTAAATTAAAGATTCCCTGTAATTCAGGCTAGGTTATCTGAACTAGTTGTATAGCACTGTCTTTTCCTTTGCCCTGTGCTCTGTACTCGCCGTCCTGCGCTTCCTGATGTTTGCTGTAGTCCCCTCCTTCCCTGTGTGCTTCCCTCATCTCGATACTGTGTAAGCATGTAGATACCTTGTACATACAGCAGAGCCTCTGGTGCCAGCCTCAGGGTGTCCTGACACTACACACCTGACACTCAGCGTGGTGGCACTTGGCAGCAGGATGTCCCGACCCCTGGCACTGGTGGTGACGTGATTACCTAGACACTGTCTCTGCAAAAGGAGGTTTTCAGTATTCATTAGTTGGGGTTTTGTTTTTGTTTTGGTTTTTGTTTTGGTTATTTTTTGTTTTTTTTTGGTTTGTTTTTTTTTTTTTTTTTTAATGGGAACTACATATTTTAAAATGTAATTTCTAAACTTTTTAAAAATTAAAAACTGTTTAATTTATGTTCTGTATCTTATATTTTTGTGCCGCGGGGTTTGCAGCTGTGTGTCTCTGACACCAGTGGGGCCTCCCAGCCCCTGCTGATGTCCTCGGTAGCATTAGTTTGGCTGCTCAGTGGAGAAGATACCATGGGCCAAAGTTCCATTATTTATGTTTGATTTGTGACACTTGGTGACAGTGAGAGGAGCTCGTTCCAGTCACCGCTCTGCTTCCTGTGCTGGTGTCCCGGGAAGATCGGCTGCCGTGTCCTGGCTCCTCCATGCTTGTGTTAGGGAGCCTCCATAGCTGCTTCTTCAGTTCTCTGAGTGTCCCTGCCATCTGTGTGGCCACACAGAGCCCTGGTTATGCCAGGAGGAGCCGTGCAGCCGTGCCAGTGGATTCACTGTGTGCGGGAGGGCTGGGCTGGCACGGGCTGTGCTGCCTCCCCTGTCTGTGTCTGTGCTGTTCTGTGCTGGCAGCAGCTCTTGGCTCTGTGGGGTTGTTGCCTTTCCCTGTGCAGTCCGGGGCAGGGTGGGGACAGCGGGGCAGCTCGAGGTGTCACAGCCCAGCCCCTCACAGGGTCCCTGCAGGGCTCCCTCCCCGTTCCTCCAGCTATTTATTCATCCAGATGAGCGAATGTGATGAAGTCCAGAAGAGCAAACTCGCTCCTGAGCGTCCATAAGGTCACTTTTTGGTAAGCTTGACAGTAGTTCGTGCAAGTGTCTTACTTTACCCTTCTCATCTAATAGCTTTAATATTAAACTGTTTAAAAAAGATCTGTTGCAGCCCTGAAGAAAAAGGTTCTTTGTTTCTGAAGAGCGGAGTCCTTTTTTTAAAAATGCATGTGTAAGATTTAAATTCCTGTTTTTCCTTGGGAGATAATGGTATTTGGACATGCAGTCTAAACTTCTTTGTGCTTTGTGTAACATAGCAGTGGACTTTTGTGATTGGCACCCAAGGAACTCGACTCCTGGGATTCATGGTAGTGATCCTGGCTGCACTCTGGACTTTGTTTTGCTAACCATAATTGAGCAACTGTACATTACTGCGATATTAATGTTTCAAAGCACTGGGATAGTCTAATTCTAACTTGTAATTATGTTTGCCAATTATCTGTTGGGAAAGTTGGTGTATGAACAGCTTCTTGAAACTGTTAAATTGTACAGATATCGTTCATGATCTAAAGCTTTGTACTGTGGAATGTGCTTAATAAAAAAAAGTTTGAACTTAATTTGTCACATGGATGGATGAGTGATGTCACCTCAGCAGGGTTTGGGTGTGAGTTAAGGATGGGTTGGAGCAGCCTGGCTGGGGGGGTGCCTGCCCACTAAACGCCCTTGCAGCCCAACCCCAGGGGCAGACACGGGGCCTGTGGTGCCCAAACCCATCTGGCCCAGCCCAGCTCCTGCTCTGGCACAGGGGTGGCAGCTGCTGTTCCACCCTTCCCTTTCTTCAGGACAAACTGGGAGGAACACTGAGACCTGGAGCTGAGCTCATTCACCCACCACAGAGGTCTGAACCCCACTGCCCCTGCAGGAACATCACAAGGAATTTTTTCTTACTTTACCAAGAATGCAGATAGAAGTTTTAAAATACTCCCCATCTCCTGGCTTGTTGAAGCAACCTCCATGCCTTGAGCTGTGCAGAGTCTTCCAGGGCTCTGACTCAGGAAAAGCTTTGCCTTGGGCTTTCCTTTGCCGTGCAGTGACTTGTTCAGTGCTGGGTTTGGTGGGTGTTTCTGGGAGACACTGACCTGAAAAGGTTTTGGAGGAGTCAGAAACTCCACTGTAAATATGAGCAGTTCTGGCTCAGCATTGGCAAATCCAGGCCTCAGGAGTGGCTCCAGTGCAGATGACTTTTGCTCTCCTTGCCCCACTGGTGATTCTGGATGGGAGTGCTGGGAGCAGCATTGCCTCTGTCAGGCTGAGGCTGCCCCTGCAGCTGGGTGAGTCCAGGCCCCTCTGGTGCCAGGAGAGCTCTGGGAGCACAGCCTGGCCCAGCTCATGACAGGGTTCTGAAGGCCTCGCTGGATATCATTATCCAAATAAGCCACAAAAGCTCTGGGATGGATCTGCAGTGCAAACCTTGAGGTCAGGCTTTAACATTCCAGCACACCTGGGTGGCCTTTGGGTTTGGTTGTTTTGTGGGTTTTCCCTTGCAGCTTTCATGGTTGGCTGTAATTCCCACCAGAGAACTTCCCAGGGAAGTCGTGGAAGCCCTGGGTGCTCCCACCCATCCTGGGGGATTTGAGGCCCCTTTGGACTCTCCCCACACCCTGTCCTGAGCGTGGAGTGCCCGTGGGGCCGGGCAGTGCCCTGGGAGGGTGGGCAATGAGGGCAGGGCTGGACCCCAGGGACCCCCACAGGCACTGGGGTCTCACTCAGGCCCAGCATCTCCTGCCAAGTCCTTCCCAAACTGGATGGGGCTGAAGCAGCACAATTCCAGAGGGGAAAACTCCATCCAGCCCGGCCTTGGGCACTGCCAGGGATCCAGGGGCAGCCACAGCTGCTCTGGGCCCTGTGCCAGGGCCTGCCCACCCTCACAGGGAACAATTCCTCATTCCCAATATCCCATCCATCCCTGCCCCTGGCACTGGGAGCCATTCCCTGTGTCCTGTCCCTCCATCCCTTGTCAATTGTCTCTCTCCAGGTTTCCTGGGGCTCCTTCAGGCCCTGCAAGGCCGCCCTGAGCTCCCCCCAAAGCTTCTCCTGTGCAGGTGAACAATGGCAGCTGTGCCAGCCTTTCCTCCCAGCAGAGCTGCTCCATCCCTGGGATCACCCTGGAGCCTCCTCTGGCCTGGCTCCAGCAGCTCCAGCTCCTGCCTGTGCTGGGGCAGGGCTGGGGCAGCTCTGCAGGTGGGAAATCACCTGAGCACAGGGCAAAATCCCCCCTGCCCTGCTGCCCACACTGGGGAGATGAAGGGAGAAAAAGGACCTTTGGAAAAGACCCTTTTCTGCTCCCCATCCCAGCAGAGCTTTTGCTAAAAATTCCAGGCCGGGCTCAGTCTCCAGGATCACTCCCCAGCCTGGCTGTGCTGGCAGACACAGCTGTGCCCATCCCTGCAGTGGGAATGACTCCCGTGGGAAGCTGCTCTGGCACCCAGGCTCTCCGTGGTGTCTGTGTGGGCTGTCCCTGTGACACAGTGCCAGGCACAGTCCCTGCTCTGTGACAGTGACAGGATTTGGGGCAGGGAGATGGAGCCAGCATTGGCTTCTCCAAGCTCCAGCTTTTCCCTGGATACGTTAAACACATTTGTGCAATGCTCTGTGGTGCTGAAACAGAACTCAAGTCACTTGTTAATCACTCACACACCAGGACCAAACTGTTCAGAGCTCCTGCCCTCTGCAGAGCTGCTCTGCAGCAGAACTCAGTTCAGGGCAGGGGATAACAGAAATCAGCAGTGATTATCCAAGCCTGTAGTAACATCCTCTTGGAACAGCTCTGGGCACTGGAGCAGGGTGAGGGACTGCAGGGAGTCGAGGCCTCTCTGGTTTAGGCTGTCTGAGCTCGCTCAGTCTCCCTGAGTGGTTCTATCATCACCAAAAGTGTGGCACATGCCAACTAAAATCTGTGAGCACTGACTGAAATGGTCCTTAGTATTTTTGTTTTGAGATTCTTTTCTAAAAAATGTTGTAAACAGTAATTTAACAGATCAAAATTGCAAGTGAACCAAAGAGAGATCCCGCAGTATTTTCCTTGGTTTTTGAACACTCAGGACAGGAGCTGGGCGCATCCAGCCGGGCTCCAGGGATGAGCACCAGGACGGCCCCGCCGCCTTCCCTGAGCACCAGCAGCGCTGTGGGAGCGCTAATTGGGAACCGTAATTGGTTCCGGCTGCCTCTGGGAGGGTTTGCAGGGACCTCCCTCTCTCCCATCTCGTCCTTCCCAGCGTCTGCTCGCGGCTGAGCCCGGAGCAGCCCCCGGCCGGACAATCCCCGTGGCAGAGGAATTCAGGGATGCTCTGTGGGGTTCCCGTATCAGCTCGAGGAGGCTCCGCGCCCTGGGGACCCCGCTGTTCTCGCGGGTCTCTCTCGCCCCTGACGAGCTCTGCAGGTCCTGCAGTCCCCGCCCTGCAGCTCCTCGGGGATGGATTGGGTGGGAAAAGGCGCTGGGAGCGCTCTGCAGACACCTCGGCGGCTCCCAGTGCTGGGGCTGCTTTGGGCGCTGGCAGGGACATCCCGCATGGACATCCCTCTGGGACATCCCTCTGGGACATCCCTCTGGGAGATCCCTCTGGGACATCCCTCTGGGACATCCCTCTGGCTCCTTCCCAGAGCCCCGGGCACCCCTGGACGCTCCCAGCCCTGTCCCCAGGCCTAGCGGCT